TCATCGACCTTTCGACGAGTCCGATACGTTTTACACGAGCTCTTAGCAGCCCTTTCCTCCTCCTCCCACTCCACCCTATTCCTTTTCTTCCTTCATTCTCCCTTTTTTCTTTTTTCTCTTACCTTCTAAATGTTTTTTTCTTTCGGGAAAATTATATAAGATAAAAAGAAGGGTGACGTAACACGGGTGGAAAGAACGTTATCAATATGAGTTATCGTGTTTTTTTATATATATTTGTTTATTTTTTTTTTAAATATGTTTCTTCGTTTTTTTTCATCGATTATAGTTTATTTTATATTGGAATAAATAATCTTTATGGCTATTATATTAATCGAAGGATTTATCACTACTCGTTGCAGTTCGTTTTTTCTTTTCTTTTCTGAGGTTAGAAAATTATTCTCTTTTTTTTTTGTTTTTTAATGGCTTTTGAATTTTCTTTTCATATAATAATTTACTCATTAGCTGTTGCGAATAAGTCAACTATCTTTTCTTTTTCAATATTTTATCACATCTAAATATTGAAATAATAAATTAAATTATTTTGAGATTTTTTTTGGATTACATATGGTTTTTTTGGTAACACTGAAAAAGAAAAGACAACAAATTCATAATAAACGTAACTACAATTGTTATTTTTAGTTATCATTTAAAATTATTCATTAACTGATTTTGAAATAAAAAAAAAAAAACAAAGAAAAAATAAAAATATTAAATACATCACAAGGAAAATCAGAATGATAGGTTAGAAAAAAATTTCAATGTAACATTGTGAGAATTTGGTAAGAAAAGCAAGGTATCCATTTTGAAATATAATTTCGATGTATGTAAATCGAACCAATAATAATTCAAATCGATAAAACGATTTCCTGCAAAACGGCATTAGAATGTTTATTTTCGTTCGTTTGTAGCCTCAGGATGTATTACTGTATTTATGCAATTCGTTCTCTTACGTATACACATAAACATACACACATACATACATATATACATACACATCGTATTGGGATCGTTATGTTAATCGATGTTTGGACTCATAGCTTTATCTCACAGTGATTCTACTCGAATATTTCAAATGCAAGCAGTCATGAGTTCATCATAACAGACTTGCATTCGTGAAAGACATATTACATATATATATTCATATAAACATATAATATACAAGGTGTCTCAATTGAATTAGTCTATATAAATATTTTCTTTGTTTTTAATGATACGAAAAATATTTAATAATAAGACATATATTATGATTATGATTGATGATTTTAACAGTGGTATCATTATCGTTGAAAAGAAATTTCTCTTTGGTTGTTTTTTTTTTCTTTTTTTTTTTTTTAATGGATTTTTTTTCAAACTCTTAAATATAATTTTATTTCATAAGCGTGCGTGTTTTTCTTTTTAATTTTTTTTTATATCGTGTAACGGGTGACAAAATAAATTTTAAGCATACCTGTATCGTGATTTTCGAACGACCTTGAACACCAAAAATATGATAAAATTGTAATACAAACGAGCCTAACTTGGCTCGCAGGCCAAGTTAGTTGGCTTAAATTAAGATAAGACACTTATCTCATTTATTTAATCAAGGTCACAATCAACGATCAAATATCATAATTTTTTGCCGTAGAAAAAAAATAAATCGCAATTCTAATAAATTTGATTAAAAAAAAGAAGAAAACAGTAAAAAAAAGAACGAACAATGAGATTTTTGTTTATATCGCATATTCAATATCGTCGGGATCCTTCTGTAAAACCATTTAGGGTTGTGCATAATCCTTAAATAGAAGAGTGGGGAGATGGGGAATAAGGGAGGATCAATTGAAGTAGTAGCCAAGGATTCAGGGATTCAGGAACATCAGTGGCGAGAAGACATAGTACGAATGGGAAAACGACAACTGAAAGGGCCTTTGGAGTTTGTCCTTTCGTTCGCTAACATAAGCAATGTAACCAGGTGCAACTACTTGCATTGGGTTGACTGCAGCATGCACCTCAAGAGACTACTACTCTTCTTCTCTTGCAATATCAAATATATCTTTCTATATCTTACCATCTCTTTATTTCTTTCATTCTTTCATTCTTTTGGTCCTTCGAAAATGCCGCAATATCCTTTTGCATTACTATCGTGTTAGATGCCCGACCATAAAGGGGATAAGTGGTAACGGCAGAATGCAGGATGCAAAGTGTAGAATGCAAAAAGAACTTCTAGAAAAAGAAGAAGAAGAAGAAGAAGAAGAAGAAGAAGAAGAAGAAGAAGAAGAAGGAAGAGAAAGAAAGAAAATAAAGAATAAGTGATCGTGGACTTGGAATGAACTTTCTACGAGTTTACTACAAACCCTTTTCTGAATATCTTTATAATTCTTTTTTCTTATTTTTTTCATTAGATTTTTAGAGAGTTTTGATTTTGTTTTCTTTTTTTTTTCTTTTTATATTAATATTTTATTATTATCATCTTTTTTTCTTTATCATCACAATTTCGAATTGTTCTAGTTATCATAATTTATAAGGATTGTTAAGGATCTTTTTTTTAACATTATTATTTTTCTATTTATTTTTTTCAGAAGAGAATAAGATGCTTTTATTTACTCATATGATTATTATTATTTTTGTTTTCTCAAATTTTCGAATAAAATTCTCGAAATAAGAACTTTTTCTATCGCTAATTAAATTTGAACATAAAAAACTAAAATTAATATTTTGAATTTATTGATTTTAGTTTTGGATTATTTTTCTTTTACTAGGAAATTAGTGAGTATGATCATGTTTTTTTTTTAAAGATTCAAGAAGATATTTAGATACAACTATCTATGTATTTGCTTACTATGAAGAAGATAGGATAGAACGGTTGGCGTTAAGGAGGCGTTGATAATCGATAAATATCCCTTAGTACCTGTTAACTCGGCCTCCTCGTAATTCCTATAACGAGCTATGGTGTATCATTATATAGCCAGTCAGGTTTCCTTTGATCACAAGTACACAGGAAGAGGGAAAAAGAAAGAAAGAAAGAATGAAAGAAAAAAAGAAAAAGATCAAAGGAAAAGAGAATCACATTATTAATAGCAATAATTAATTAGGTAGACTTCGTATCTCTTTAATATGTATATATGTCTGTGTATGTGTGTACATGTGTGTATATAGATAAAGTGTAACTCTTCTCTCAATCGTCAATTTCTTCAATCATTTCATTCTCATCGTTACTTAAATAAATTCAAGATTGTTAATGGTATTCGATTATATTGATTATTCGATCGAAGTATCGTTTTTCATCATTTGCTTTTGTAATAATTCAATTGAACTTTTAAAAGGTTGATAAGATTTTAAATGTTTCTTTTTTTTCTTTCTTTTTGTGAATGATTTAAACTTGATTTTAATTAATATACACATGTATATGTAATATATATCTTTTTTTCTTTCATTTATTTTGTTTATTTTTCCTTTTTATTCTATTATTTATTATTACCAATCTTTATTTTTATTTAATTCAAGTAACACGTTAAATATATTCCTAAAAAATGCCACGTTGTTTGAAACCGTGTGACTTATTCGTTAGCGTTAAATATTTTAAAGTAATTTATATTTTGAAATATGTTAAGCAAAAATCAAATGTTATCCAATGCAATCTTGAAGTACACTTTTATATTATATGAATCGTGTTATAGTGAAATCATGTTGTAGGTGGTCTACCTGTAATTTATTTATGCATTTCAATTTTGCACGTGTCACAGTATAATTAGATACGTCAGTATACCTTTAATCGTTTATTTTCTTCTTTTCTTCTGTTTAATTATTTTTCTTCCAACAACCTTGTTCCTTCTTCTTCTTCTATTTTTTTGTTTTACTATTTTCTGATTTTCTCGATCTCATTATCACCATTCTTTTCTCGTTTCTATTAACGAGACACGAGACGAGACGAAAGGTGGATTTAGAAATGTCGTGAGAACGATCCTTCTATTCTCTTCCACTCCTTATATATATATATATATGTATGTATGTATGCATTCATGCATGCATGCATGTATGTATAGACGTATATGTATGTCTACTGTCCCCTTCTTTCTTTTTTATTCTCGGCAAGTACGGAATGCAAGCGTAGGTGGATTTACGTGGGCGTATTTCTTGTCTAGCCTAACGCGTGTGTCCCATGTTACGCATAGAAACTTAGGATATGTATATATATATTGTATTTATGCCAATCTCTATAACACGTCATATTACTTAAATATATATTGTTATATAAACATAATAATTTAATTTTTTTTCAATGTAGGTTTTTTTCCTCCTTCGTTCAAAACTTTTATCCCCTTTCGCATATCATTAAGAGGGGGAAGAAAGTTAAATGAATCATACAAAAATTATTCATAACAAAATATTTATTATTAAGACTGCGAATAGCATATGTAATTTTAGATTTGACAAAATTAATTAATATAATATTACAGTATTTAATCCGAAAAGTATTCGGAAATCCGTATACCTATTATTGTCAATTTTAAACAATTAATAATATATGCAATTGTAATGTAAATATCTTCGAAAATTTTCTATATGAAAGAAATATTTTGAATAATAAATTTAGAATAAAATATTTTGAAGAATAAATCAATCAATATGTAAAATATATTTCTAAATTATCTTATAAGAATAAGATTTGAACTTATTATATGTATATATCATATGTAATATTACATAAATATACATATAAATCAATCAATATATTACAACTTATAAAATATATCACATATAATGTTACATAAATATACATATAAATTAATCAATATATAAACATATATCTAAATTATTTTATAACAATTAAAATTAAACTTTTTATATTACACATATATAAATGAATAATATAAATACGAAAAATGAAATTAAATATAAACGAAAATTCGGATTGTGCTATATAGCTACGTAAAAATTAAAAAAAATAAAAAAAATAAAAAACAAGTAATTATATCGTACATGTAAAATGTAATAAATTTGTTTTAATTGTTATCCATTTTCAGACGGGTCATATGAGAACTTCGAGCGGAAGTTATTTCATTAAACCTACTGAGCATTGGCGTGAAAACGAGAAAGACTCAATGATGGCATCCTCTTTGCAACATGCTATCTACCGGGTGCCTCCTGTCACCGAGTCAACATCGTCCAACGACATTGACGAGGATCCCCCTATTGGTGTTCGTAACTGTGCTGTCATTGGTAAGCTAGTTTTTTCTTTTCGTTTTGTTTTTTGCGCAACACCTATTTATTTACAAAAATTTTTTTACAATTTTCTTCTTTTTTTATTTTTTTAATAAAATTTATCCCGAAAATTAAAAAAAAAAAACGAATATACAGTTTCTTCATATCCTCGACACTATTTTATCGTTAAAACGAGAGATGGATGGGTGGATGGAGAAAAAGATTTATTTTATAACTTTTCTTTTTTTTATAATTAGATCTTATAAAATTACTCGGTTAAATTATTATAGTCGTATATTATTTTTTCCATAAATATGTATTATCATATTTAATTTTCGATTGAAGAAATAGAAAAAAAAGGGTGAGAAGGGCTGGCTTATTTTTTCGAATGATCGTTCTTTTTTTATTATTAATTTAAAAAATTATTAATCCAACGTCTATTTTAAAGTCAACGAAATATTTATTCAAAAAAAAAAAAAAAAGAAAAGAAATTCAAAAAATATTAATTAAATATTTAATTGGCTAAAACTATGAAAATAAATTATTAGTAAAAAAATATCAGAATATTTTGTGTTTATATATTTTTAATATAAATAAAAGTATATATTTTGATATAAAATCTGTAGAGAAATATTATTCTTAATTTACCGAGCCAACAATTTATTTACTACATATATATATATATGTATATATATATGTACACACACACATTTAATAGAATATTGCAAGCTCTTGATATATACATACATATATACATATATGTATAAATTATTGGAAATTATTTGGATATCGATTAAAGTATAATAAGACATACGACGTCCACACCTGTCGTACGTTTGTTCGAGCACGCGTTCAGAGATATATAAGAGTAACGAATTTATATGGGCGTAGGAAGAAGTTATAATATATATACATATATATATATATATATANTAATATAATTAAATAAATAAAATAAAATTAATAAAATTAATAATAAAAAGACAAAAAAATTTTGTCAAATTTTGTTAACAATAAAAACATGTATTGAATAATAATATTTATAGTAATATAAATTCATTCAAATTATTTATACGATGAATTTGTCATGCTTTTTCTTACATTTATATAATATTTTATCTATTTAACAATAATATAATATTGATATTATTATAATTATGTAAAAAATTCTATAAAAAGTTATTGAATTTGATTTTAATTTTCAATTGTTGTTCAATTTGTTAATTTGATAGAAGATAATTAAAAGATTTTTTTGGTAATTTAAAATTGTTAATCAAAAACATTTAAAATTTTTCATAATATAATTTGTAAAATTTATGGATGAAAATTTAGCACCCACTCATGTTGAAAAAAATTCGCGTATCGTTTAACATAAATAAGATCGTTCAAGCAACGTGACATTTTTGACGAAGTAAAATAATCTGCGAAGTTCGAAGAATGAAGAATGAAAAATAAGAATAAAAAAAATGATGAATTCGTTGATGCGTTGGTAAAAAGAGAAGATGATTGTTGAAAGGACGTTGATAGGACACGAACGATGATTTCAATTTAAAACGTACTTCATGAGAAATTATCATCTTATATACATTTTTTTTCTATTTTATCATTTAAAATGTTACGAGTGATAAAAAAGAAAAAGAAAAAGAAAAACAAAATAAAAAACAAAACAAAAAGATTACACGATAAATTAACGAATTGTAAATTAAATTCATTGCCGAGAAAATAATTCAGTGAGGTTTTTTTGTCGCAGATACTAAAAAAAAAGAAAAAGAAAAACTATAAAAATTTGATAATTATTTTCACCATAGGTTTCTTTTTTTTGCCAACAACATTTTGTAATGTTTCAAGAAACAAAAAAAGAACAAAATTATTACGAAATATTTCGTAGTCGATCAATAAATATATATATGGTGTTTCGTAATACACGTGAGACCCATTTATGCATTGAAAAATGCGGACCGCTAAATAATAAAACAAGTTTATATAAAAAGTTTTTCTATTCGACGTTTTTTCTTTCTTTTTTTTTCTTTCCAAAAGTTATAGCCACATTTATGATCCAATAATTCTTTCGACAGTTTTTAACTTCGTTGAAGATAATAGATCTTTTCACAGTGATCAGACTCGGTTGTTCTTAATCCCAAATTTTGCAATCTTTTCAAAATTATTTATTATTATTATTTATTATTAAATTGAATAATTTTTCCAATTATTGCAAATTATTTTATTAAGTTTATACGGCAAACAATAATAATAAAATAATAATTTAGATAATTAGCAATTCTCAATTCATAAGTGAAATCAGATTCTAATATTTTCTTTTTTCTATTTCATCTTAAATAATAAAAAAATAAAAATGAAAAAATCTTTTCGATCATTCTAAAGCCGATTGAAAAAAATCTATAAAAAAAAAAGTAGCAGAAAAAAAAAGAAAAAACCAGAAAAAGCCATCATGCGTAAACCGATAATACTGATAATAAATTATGTATGCATATGAGATAAAAAGAAATAGAGATAAAGATAGATAGATAAATAGAAAAAAAAAGAAAGAGAGAAAACTCTGATATATATATATATATATATATATATTTAAATGTTAGTGAAAGTATTCGTGTAAATGTTAATAATGTTGAATCTGAGAATG